CCAGGTGTGTCCTGGGTGTGTCTGGGGCATGGCCAGGTGTGCCTAGAGCATGTCCAGGTGTGTCCTGGGTGTGTCCAGGTGTGTCTGGGTGTGTCCAGGTGTGTCTGGGGCATGGCCAGGTGTGCCTGGAGTGTATCCAGGTGTGTCATGGGTGTGTCCAGGTGTGTCCGGGCATGACCAGGGCATGGCTTGGGTGTGTCCAGGTGTGTCCTGGGTTTGTCCAGGTGTGTCCAGGTGTGTCTGGGTGTGCCCAGGTGTGGTCAGGGCGTGTCGGGGCATGGCGTGGGTGTGCCCAGGTGTGCCCAGGTGTGCCCAGGTGTGTCCGGCTGTGTCCAGGGCGCGGCCGGGGCGCGTCCCCGTGTCCTGCCCTCCCTAACGCTCCGGTTCCAGTCTCCCCCGCGGGGCGCGGCCGGGCGCTGGTGCTGCGGGCGCGGGCGCTGGGCGTGGCGCCGGCGGCGGGCGGGGCGCGGGCGGAGGCGGCGCTGGGCCGCGCCCTGAAGCTGGAGCCCGCCCTGGGCGCGGCCTGGCGCCAGCTGGGCGAGCAGCGCTGGCGGCGCGGCGACCTGCGCGGCGCCCGACAGGCCTTCGGCGGCGCCCTGCAGCAGGTGGGAGCTTCCGGGGGGTTTCGGGCATTTTCGGGATTTTTGGGGATTTTATGGTGATTTTTGGGTGATTTTTGGGGATTTTATGGTGATTTTTGGGTGATTTTTGAGTGATTTTTGGGTGATTTTTGGGTGATTTTTTGGGGTATTTTTGCGGGATTTTGGTTTTTCTGGATCTGGATTTTTAGGGAAATTTTTGGGGAATTTTTTGGGAAATTTTTTGGGGATTTTTAGGGAATTTTTAGGGAATTTTTCTCGAATATTTAAGAAATTCTTTGGGAATTTTTAGGAAATTTTTTGAGAATTTTTGGGTGATTTTTGGGAATTTTTTGGGAACTTCTGGGTGATTTTTTGGGTGATTTTTGTGGGGTTTTGTGGTTGCGTGTGGGTTTGGAGAGTTTCTGGGTGGTTTTTTTGGGCATTTTCAGGGTTTTGCCAATTTTGGGATTTGGGGTGGTTTTGGGCTGTTTTTGGGGTGTTTTGGGGTATTTTAGGGCTGTTTTTGGGCTGTTTTTGGGGTGTTTCGGGCTATTTTTTAGCGGTTTTTTTGGGGACTCCTATGTTTTTTTCCCGATTTTGGTGTTTTGGTGTTTTCTGTGTATTCTCGCTGTCGTTAACCCCGTTTTTCCCCGTTTTCTCCCCAGGGCGAGGACCCCGAGGCGCGGCGCCTGCTCTCCATGGCGCTGCGGGCGCAGGGGGCGGGGCCTGGCGGCGAGGGGGCGGGGCCAGCGCCGGGGGGCGGAGCCCTGCGCGAGAGCCTGGCCCAGGCGGAGGCGGCCGTCAGGTGTGACCCCAAGAACGGCCAGAGCTGGTGTGAGTCTCACCTGGGACAGGTGTGCTCACCTGGGACAGGTGTGGGCGGGGCTGGGACAGGTGTGGGAAGGGCTAAAGGGGCTCAGGTGTGACCCCAAGAACGGCCAGAGCTGGTGTGAGTCTCACCTGGGACAGGTGTGTGGCTGGGGAGAGCACTGGTGGGTGTGGAGAGGGGCTCAGGTGTGCTCAGGTGTCTCCCTGGTGCGCCCACCTGTGCCAGGTGTCTCTCAGGTGCACCCAGGTGTATCTCATGTGTATCTCAGGTGTCTCTCACCTGTGCCAGGTGTATCTCACCTGTGCCAGGTGTCTCTCAGGTGTCTCTCAGGTGTATCTGAGGTTAGCCAGGTGTACCCAGGTGTATCTCAGGTGTACCCAGGCACGTCCACGTGTATCTCAGGTTACCCAGGTGTCTCCCAGGTGTCTCACCTGTGCCAGGTGTATCTCAGGTGTGCCCAAGTGTACCCAGGTGTATTGCAGGTGTATCGCAGGTGTATCGCAGGTGTATCTCAGGTGTATCTCAGGTGTACCCAGGTGTATGTCAGGTGTACCCAGGTGTACCCAGGTGTCTCTCAGGTGTCTCACCTGTGCCAGGTGTCCCATCTCAGGTGTTTCCCCCCCAGACGTGCTGGCCAACGCCCACGTGGCGCTGTTCTTCGCGGGCGGGCAGAGCCCCGGCAGCGCCCGGCGCGCGCTCGCGGCCTACGCGCAGGCGGTGAGGGGCGGGGCCGAGGGGCGGGGCCAAAGGGGGCGGGGCCGAGGGGGCGGGGCCACGGGAGGTGGGCGGGGCCAAATGGGCGGGGCCACGGGAGGAGGGCGGGGCCACGGGAGGAGGGCGGGGTTATGGGGAGGGGCGGGGCGAAAAGGGGCGGGGCCACGGGAGGTAGGCGGAGTCATGGGGAGGGGCGGGGCCAAAGGGGCGGGACCAATGGAGGTGGGCGGAGTCATGGGCGTGGCCAAATGGGCGGGGCCACGGGATGAGGGCGGGGCCAAAGGGGGCGGGGCCAAAGGGGCGGAGCCACGGGAGGTGGGTGGAGTCATGGGGAAGGGCGGGGCTGAGGGGGCGGGGCCACGGGAGGTGGGCGGAGTCATGGGGAGGGGCGGGGCCAAAGGGGGGCGGAGCAAACCCTGGGGGTGTGGCCAACCCTGGTGCGAGGCTAGCCATGGGGGCGGGGCTAACGGGGGGCGTGGCCAATCCTGGGGTGGGCGTAACCAGGGGGCGTGGCTAATCCTGGGGGTGTGGCCAACCCTGGGGGCATGGCCAACCAGTGGGGCGGGGCTAACCCGGGGGCGTGGCTAACTCTGAGGGCGTGGCCAATCCCGGGGGTATGGCCAACCCTGGGGGCGTGGCCAACAGTGGGGGCGTGGCCAACCCAAAAACCACCAAAAAAAAAAAAAAAAAGACGAAATCTGCCAACGATCCCTCAATGGCCCCAAAAATCCCCCAAGTGACCCCAAAATTCTCCCCCAGGAGCGCGTGGACCCCGCGGCCGCCGCCAACCCCGACCTGCACCTGAACCGCGCCACGGTGAGGGGGCGGGGCGGGGCTCAGGTGTGCCCAGGTGTGTGTCAGGTGTGCCCAGGTGTGCCCCAGGTGTGTCTCAGGTGTGCCCCAGGTGTGCTCAGGTGTCTCAGGTGTGCCAGGTCTGTGTCAGGTATGTCTCAGGTGTGCAAGGTGTGTGTCAGGTGTGCCCAGGTGTGTCTCAGGTGTGCCCAGGTGTGTCTCAGGTGTGCCAGGTGTGTCTCAGGTGTGTCTCAGGTGTGCCCAGGAGTGTCTCAGCTGTGTCTCAGGTGTGTCAGGTATGTGCCAGATGTGTCAGGTGTGTGCCAGCTGTCTCAGGTGTGCTCAGGTGTGTCTCAGGTGAACTCAGGTGTGTCTCAGGTGTGCCCAGGTGTGTCTCAGGTGTGCTCAGGTGTGTTCAGATATGTCTCAAGTGTGCTCAGGTGTGCCAGGTGTCCAGGTGTGCACTCCCCGCCCCTGTCGCGCAGCTGCTGCAGTTCCTGGAGCGGTTCCAGGGGGCGCTGGAGGGGCTGAGCCGCGCGGCCGAGCTGGCGCCGGGCTGGGCCGAGCCCCGGCGGCGGCACCGCGGCCTCATGGAGTTCCTGGGGCGGCTCTGCGGGCTGCTGGAGAGCCGGGTACGGACTGGGAGGGACTGGGAGGGGCTGGGAGGGACTGGGATTGGACTGGGATGGACTGGGAGGGGCTGGGATTGGACTGGGATTGGACTGGGAGGGGCTGGGATGGACTGTGATTGGACAGGGATAAACTGGGATGGACTCGGATTGGACTGGGATAAACTGGGATGGACTGGGATAGACTGGGACACACTGGGATTGGACTGGGATAAACTGGGATAGACTGGGATGGACTGGGAGGGACTGGGATTGGACTGGGATAAACTGGGATTGAACTGGGAGGGAACTACGGTGAACTGGGAGGGACTGGAATGGACTGGGATCAAACTGGGACAAACTGGGATGGACTGGGAGGAGCTCAGGACGCGCTGGGAGGATGCGGAAAACACTGGCTCAAACTGGGGTGTGGTGGGCGTGTCCCTCTGGCCCCGCCCCCAGCGGAAGCTGGGCGCTGGTTGGTGGCCGTGTCCCTGACCCCGCCCCTCTAAACCCCGCCCCCAGGGGAAGCTGCACGCTGATTGGTGGGCGTGTCCCTGACCCCGCCCTCTCTGGCCCCGCCCCCAGGGGAAGCTATGCGCTGATTGGTGGGCGTGTCCCTGACCCCGCCCCCTCTAAACCCTGCCCCCAGGGGAAGCAGTGCGCTGATTGGTGGGCGTGTCCCTGACCCCGCCCCCTCTCTGGCCCCGCCCCCAGGGGAAGCTGGGCGCTGATTGGTGACCCCTGACCCCGCCCCCTCTCTGGCCCCGCCCCCAGGGGAAGCTGCGCGGGAAGCGGCGCCGGGGCGTGGCCGGGCCGGTGCCCCTCCCCCTGCTGGGGCCGCTGGGCGGGGCCGGGGGGCCGCGCCCCTCCCCCATCGCCGGGCTCCGCCCCGGGCCCAACCCCCAGCGCGTGGTGCTGGGCAGGGTCCTGTTCAGCCTGGCCCCGCCCGGGGGCGTGCCCTAGTGAGTGCGGGCCGGGAGTGAACTGGGAGGGACTGGGAGTGAACTGGGAGGGACTGGGAGTGAACTGGGAGGGACTGGGATTAACTGGGAGGGACTGGGAGGGACTGGGATTGAACTGGGAGGGGACTGGGATAAACTGGGAGGAACTGGGAGGGACTGGGAGTGAACTGGGAGGGACTGGGAGTGAACTGGGAGGGACTGGGATAAGATGGGAGGGACTGGGATTGAACTGGGAGGGGACTGGGATGGACTGGGAGGGACTGGGAGGGGAATGGGGTAAACTGGGAGGGGATTGGGAGGGACTGGGATTAACTGGGAGGGGACTGGGATAAACTGGGAGGGACTGGGATTAACTGGGAGGGACTGGGGGAGGATTGGGATAAACTGGGAGGGGATTGGGGGGCACTGGGAGGGACGGATTGAACTGGGAGGGACTGGGATTGAACTGGGAGGGGACTGGGATAAACTGGGAGGGACTGGGATTGAACTGGGTGGGGACTGGGAGGGACTGGGGGGGGATTGGGATAAACTGGGAGGAACTGGGATTGAACTGGGAGGGACTAGGATTGAACTGGGAGGGGACTGGGACAGAAGTGGGAGGGACTGGGAGGGGATTTGGGGAGACTGGGATAAACTGGGAGGGACTGGGATAAACTGGGAGGGACTGGGATGGAAGTGGGTGTGGTCACAGTGGGTGTGGTCGCGGTGGGCGTGGCTGACCCGGCCCCGCCCCCAGCGTGGTGGGGCTGCAGGACGGGGCCGGGGCCGCGGCCGCCGTGTCCGTGTTCAACGCGGCGCCCGCCTGGGGCGTGACCGTGGGCGACGCCCTGGGCGTGGCCGAGCCCGAGCTCAGCCAGCACCTGCACCAGCACCAGGGACAGGTGAGGCACCGGGCCGGACTGGGCCGGACTGGGCTGGACTGGTTTGGGTCGGGCCGGACTGGTTTGGGTTGTTCTGGAATGGTTTGGACTGGTTTGGGTTGGTCTGGACTGGTTTGGGTCATTCTGGAGTGGTTTGGGTTGGTCTGGATTGGTTTGGGTCATTCTGGACTGGGTTGGGTCGTTCTGGACTGGTTTGGGTCATTCTGGACTGGTTTGGGTTGGTCTGGACTGGTTTGGGTTGGTCTGGACTGGTTTGGGTCATTCTGGACTGGTTTGGGTCATTCTGGACTGGTTTGGGTTGGTCTGGACTGGTTTGGGTTGGTCTGGACTGGTTTGGGTCATTCTAGACTGGTTTGGGTTGGTCTGGACTGGTTTGGGTCGTTCTGGGCTGGTTTGGGTCCTTCTGGACTGGTTTGGGTTGGTCTGGACTGGTTTGGGTTGGTCTGGACTGGTTTGGGTCCTTCTGGGCTGGTTTGGGTCCTTCTGGACTGGTTGGGACCACTTTATACTGGTCTGTACTGGTCTGGACTGGTTTTGATTAGTTGTTACTGGTCCACATTGCTTTATACCAGTCTGTACTGGTTTAGAACAGTTTGTACTGGTTTATAATGGTTTATACTGGTATTTACTGGTCCATAATGGTTTATAACTGTTTATACTGGTTTGTACTAGTCCATACTGGTTTGTACTGGTTTGTACTGGCCCAAACTGGTCCTGACTGGTTTCTCTCCCCGCAGACCTTCTCCTTCGTGGGGCTCCGCGTCCCCTCCCCCCTGTCCCTGGTGGTCAATGGCCGCCGCCCGCCCGGCTCCGCCCTGGCCCCGCCCCACCTGGCGCTGACCAATCCCGGCGCGCCTCTGCCGGCCCCGCCCCCCGCCGCGCGCTGACCACGCCCCCCGCGGGGCGGGGCCGATTCGGGGCAATAAACGTGGATTTTGGGAAACCCAGCTCGGGGTCGTGACCTCGGCGCCGCCATCTTGGGCTGGGGTGGGCCTGGGGGCCGCCATCTTGGATTGTGGCACATGGGAACGGCCATCTTGGGTTGTGGCAAAAATGGGGGCCGCCATCTTGGACTGGTGCACAGAGGCAGCCATCTTGGATTGCAAAACATGGGGCAGCCATCTTGGATTGCAGCACGTGGAGCAGCCATCTTGGATTACAGGAAGTGGAGGCGGCCATATTGAATAATCGCACATGGGGGCAGCCATCTTGGATTCCTGTATGGGGGTGGCCATCTTGGATTGGTGTATGGGTGCCGCCATATTGGATTGGTGCACAGGGACGGCCATATTGGATCACAAAGACTGGGGCAGCCATCTTGGATTACAACATATGGAGGTGGCCATATTAGATAATTGCACATGAGGCAGCCATATTGGATTGCTGTATGGGGGTGGCCATATGGGATTGAGACACATAGGAGTAGCCATATTGGGTGGGGCACAGAGGCGGCCATCTTGGATTGCAAACCATGGGGGCTGCCATCTTGGATTACAGCAGTTGGAGGTGGCCATATTAGATAACTGCACATGGGGGTGGCCATTTTGGATTATGGCGTGTGGAGACCACCATCTTGGATTTCCATGCATGGAGGCTGCCATTTTGGATTGCAGCACATGGGGGCCGCCATCTTGGACTCCAACCAATGGGGGCGGCCATATTGGATTGTGGCACACAGGGGCAGCCATCTTGGATTAAAGGATATAAAAGCCGCCATCTTAGGTGGGGCACAGGAGGGTGGCCATATTGGATTGAGACACATGTGGGCAGCCATATTGGACTCTGCCACACAGCGGCCGCCATCTTGGGGGCCGCCATCTTGCACTGCAGCATGTGAGGGCGGCCATGTTAGACCGCGGTGAGGCCGCCGCCATCTTGGGCGCGTCCCGCCCCTCCCCCGCCGAGCCGCGTTTACAAACATCCGTCCTTTAATTCATCATCTCGAGGTATCAAAATTAACGAGGGGGCGGGGCCGGGGGCGCGGGGCCGTGTGCGGGCGGGGGAGGGGCGCGGGGGGAGGAGGGGGAGGGGAGTGGAACTACGGGGGCGGGGGAGGGGCCGCGGGGGCGGGGCCGGGGGCTCAGGGCTCGTCCTCGCCGTTGGCGCTGTCCCGGTCGTCCTCCCCCTCCTCCGCCTCCTTCTCGTCCCCCTTCAGCGACTCCAGCTGCGGGGGGAGGGGCGTCAGGGGGGGGGAGGGGCGGGGCCTGCTGCCCCTCCCCCCACCCCGCACAGGGAAAGGGTGGGGCACTGGGAGGGCACTGGTTTGTACTGGGAGGGCACTGGGAGGGCACTGGTTTGTACTGG